CACCTGCTCAATCAAACACCACTGATCCCTGAGCCATGGAGTTCTGAGAGAGCCTATCTCGGTGGAAGCTCCAGAATGTTGGATCTAAGGAACCAAACCAGTGAACGCGCTCTCACAGAAATACTCAAGGACAGCAGATTTGATGTAATAACATAAGATACATTGGTGATATCAGTATACTGGGGCTCTCCCATGCACAGGTGAGAGGGCCCCAAGCCACAGCTAAAAACAGCTTTATATACCATTTTTACAAGAGTTCACAAAGACAGTTAATTACTTCTTAAACAATAACCATAAAAGATTTCAAAAAACCATTCCCAGGCCCAGTTTCCTTTCCCAGGCTGGGTTTCTAAGCAACTCAAATTTACACCACAAAGAGATTAGCTTAAGTAAGTGGCTTTTGTTTACCCAGGCGTACTTGTATTAAGGGCTCATTTCCCTGATAAAACTCTTATCTTGTGTCCCTTTTCCAGGAATATTTGTTTGAGGTTTTGGAATTTGCTCCTCCAGGGATGTGCCTCAGGGGCAGTTAATATTTAGGTGTAGACCAAATCTTGGACTTAAGGATCTTTTTAAATTCTTACAACACCATCAAGTTCCTCTATAAGCTTAGATAAACCCTCATCCATTGAACCACATAAGCAGTAGCTTTTTTGTTTTTGCTACCTGGGAGCAGAGCATTAATTGGGCTTTCTTTCACAAGTTAGAAGCTAAGTTGGGTGGAGTTCAGTGACAAAATCAGCTCATGACTATATGAGGGTCCTCCCCAAGGACGGCAGTAGTGAGATGGGAGCCTTGTTACTATTCTGGAGCAGCAAGGAAGCCACATTTTACCATTCCATTCTGCCAGAATAATCAGAATGGAAACAATAACGACAGACACAGGCAAAGAAACAAACAAACAAACAAAAAGATCAAAATTTAAAATTATAAGAGGTTGTGTTCTCAGCAAACACAGTAGGGATCAAAACCTAGACATAACATATGGTCAATATACATATTTACAGATTAAAAATAGAAATTGTTCAGTAGACTTTAAGTCAAAGATTTTTCAAAAGGGCTTCTTTAATAAACATTATGTATAAAGAGGAATAAAATTAAGTACCTCTAAAAAAATATCTGCACTCTAATTTCCAAGAGCTAGTGTAACTATGCATTGAATCCTAGATAGCTTTTTTTAAAAAGTGTTGTTTTATTTTTCTAAAGCCTGGAAATTCAAGCATTGTTCCAAAATGTCTGTTTATTCTTGAAAAGATGGAATATAAACATGATTTAAGAATAAAGGATAATAAGAATAAATCAATAATCACATTTGCATCACATGGTGAGTAATAAGGACCTACCCATTATTTGACTAGTAGAGAGACATATTTTCTCTATAAAAGAAATTCTACCAGGTTCCAAAAACAAGTCAGAAGATCAGAGACTTTGCTGAAGGGTCATACCTATTCTCTGGAGCATCATGTCTCTACAAGATTAGGAGCATCTTCTCCTTCTGAGGCCACACAAAGCCTTCAGTTCTCTACTACATATGTGCTGGGAGCCTCAGACCAGCCCATGTATGCTAGTTGGTTGTGCTTCTCAGCCATTCAAGATTCCTTTGTTGAGAATTCTGTTTAGCTCTGTGCGCTGTTTTTCACTGTATTATTTGGGTTGTTGCTGTTTAACTTCTTGAGTTCTTTATGACCTTTAGATATTAGCTTTCTGTCACATGTAAGGTTGGTGAAAATCTATAGGCTGCTGTTTTGTCTTATTGACAGCGTCCTTTACCTTGAAGAAGTTTTGCAGTTTCATGAGGTCCCATTTAACACTTGTTGATCTGAGATCATGGGTTATTGGTGGTCTGTTTAATAATTTGTAAGAGTGTGGGTCCTCATAAAACCATAAGCTAAACCCATAACCTAAACAGCCTTTTTGAAGCAGCTCTGGGGACCTTTAGATGCCTCCATTCAAATATCAATTACATCCAAAATGAATAAGATGGTATGTGACAATTAAAGGGGACAACAATGACTCCAGAATTGGGATTTTTGCCTAAATCTCTGTTGTCACATGAAATTTAAAAGCATAAAAACAAATAATTTACTGATTTAGATGTTTCAAGTGTTCTCTTCTACAACATCCCTGTCACCACAAAAGGTTAGAGGAGGAAAATAAACACACTAAAGTCAAAAGGCCACACGACATCATAGTTCTTAAACATACCCTACGAGTCTTTGTGTGATGTTGTGAGAAGCCAAAGGGACTGACAAGACTTGATAAGGGAGCCAAGCAGACATAGAAACAGAAAGATGTAGCTGTATTTTATCCACAGTGCATGTCTGTAGAACATTAGCAAACAGTAGCCAGTGAGTTGAATTGTTCTTATGGACAATGGTCATGTGTACAGGTCTTTTGCCTGTCCATTGTAAGTCCCAAAATAGGTTTAAAAAATACACACATTCTCTATTGGACAAAATATTTAAATTAGCTTCTAATGAAAAGAAAAAATAATATGTACTCCTTTCTAAATATATGAATGTAGCCAGATTGAATGTGTATAGGAGTTTAACCTGTATGGATATCTGTGCTCCACGTGTGTGCAGTGGCCACAGAGGCCAAAAAAGGGTTCCTGATCCCCTAGAACTAGAGTTACAGATGGTTGTGAACTTCCATGTGGGTGCTGAGAATTAAAGCCAGATCCTCTGAAAACATAGCCAGTTCTCTTAACTCCAGAGACGTCTCTCCTCAGACATCTCTCTACAGACACCTCTCCTCAGACATCCTTCCTGAGATATATCTTATTGCACACCTTTTGTTATTACTGTAGCACATTGTTACATGTAATAGATTTGATTGACATGTATTAGTTGCCTTAAATTATGAGGGACAGCCTGATATTTCTTATCAAGTATACAATTTTAATGACTGTTAACAGTACAATTACCTTATTCTTACATTACCTTATTATTTTGGGTTGTGACATTCAAAACCCTGTCTCCTGCTTATGTTGTAGTATACTCCAAGTTGTCAGCAATGGTTATTCTACTAGGCTATTAAAATACACTTTTATGGCTCTCACAAGGTGGTGGCAACCAAGAGCTGTCAAATTAGATTTAAAGACTACTCAACAGAACAGAAATTATGTCTGTCATGGAAACCAGGCCAACTCCCTGTCACTAGTGAGATCATAGACCTTAGAAAAGAAGCTATGGTGTTTGCTAGACCAGCATAATCCTTATTACATTCAAAATTTTATCCTTATACACAATGGAAAGTAGAATCATCAACCAAAAGTATAATCATTAAAGAAGCCTCTCTTGGGCGACTTCTTGCATCCAGGCAGGAACTCCAATGGAATGACAGTGACATCAACCCACAAACAAAACTTTCAACCAAACATCTATCCTGTCTACAAGAAATGCATGGACTGGGGATGGAGCAGAGACTGAGGGAACAGCCAACCAAAACCAGCCCAACTTAAGACCCAGTCCATGGGCAAACACCAATCTCTAACACTATTAATGATGCTCTGTTATGTTTGTAGACAGGAATCTAGCATGGCTGTCTTCTGAGAGGCTCCATACAGTAGCTGACTCAGGAAGATACAGATACCCACCATCAAACTGTGAACGGATCTTGGAGACTATTATGGAAGAATAGGAAAAAGGATTTTGGCCCCTAAGAGGCCAAAAACTTCATAGGAAGATCAAAAGAATCCACAAACCTGGACCCTTGGGACTTTCAGAGACTGAACCACCAGCCAACGAACATACACAGGCTGGACCTAGGTCTTCACGCATGTATATAGCAGATGTGCAGCTTAGTCTTCATATGGGTCTCAAACAACTAAAGTGGAGGCTATTCCAAAAGCTGTTGCCTGTATGTGGGATATATTCTTCTAGCTGGGCTGCTTTGTCTGGCCTAAGTGGGAGAGGATGTACCTAGCCTCACAGAGACTTTATGTACCAGGGTTAGAAAATACCCAGGGGGGCTCCTACCCACTCTGAGAAGGGGATGAGGGATGGGGAAGCACTGTGGGAGGAGATGACCAGAAGGTGGTCAGTGAGTGGAATGTAAAGTGAAAAAGTAAAAAATAATAAATAGAATTTAATGTAATTTAAACAAACAACAAAAGATAGAAGAAGCTTCTCTTTAAGTAAATTGAGACCATGATAGAAATGAGGGCGAGTTTGAATCTCACAACTAAATTTATGGGTATTATTTATAACTCCTTTACTTTCACGTAAGACACAGCAAATGTCAACGACATGTGTGCTGTTTTCATGTCAACAACATGTGTGCTGTATTCTTGAGTTTTTTGGTGTTAGTTGGTCTCAGTGGACTTTTATAATCATTTTTAAAAGCAACTCTGAAATGGTTATTAACAGTAATGAACACTGGGCTAGGGTAGTAGCACAAGGAGAGAGGGGCACCTTAACTGGAATATAGGTATGAGTTCATTCTCAAAATGGATATCAAGCAAACACAGATACATATACCATAAAAAGTAGATACTATGATAAGTGAGAGATTAGAGATATGATACACAGAAAGACACCACTCACTTCATGAGAGCCCAGAAATCAAAGCATCAAGAATATGAATGCATGGAATTAGATGTATTGAAGAATCATCAGAGGTGGTGGCACAGGCCTTTAATCCCAGCACTTGGGAGGCAGAGGCAGGCGGATTTCTGAGTTTGAGAGTTTGACACTACCCTGGTCTACAGACTGAGTTCCAGGACAGCCAGGGCTACACAGAGAAACCCTGTCTCAAAAAAAAAAAAAAAAAAAGAGAGAGTTAAAAAAAAAGCATCATCATTATGGCAGTGCTATAAAAAACAAACTGGATATCCACGCATTCACAAACATGTGACTTTACTTATATAGTACTATAAGAACCATATAGTAATTAAAATAATGACTATAGTATTGACGTGATCACTTTTGCCATGATTTACTAAACTAAGGTAGAGCTTCTTTGGTTGGTTTCCAAATACCAAATGGCTTCTCAGCAAGTCAGAAATCCATTTTTCTTTGCCATAATTTTACCAAGGCCCTTTTCATCTCCTTGTTTCTCAGGCTGTAGATAAGTGGATTCAACAGAGGAGTGAGCAGAGAGTAAGCCAATGACATTAGTTTCTTGGTGTCTGGGGAGTACTTGGATTTGGGCTGTAGATAAGTCATACATGCTGTACCATAGAAGAGGGTGACAGAGGTGAGATGAGAGGTACATGTGGAAAAGGCCTTCTGCCTCCCTGTAGTGGATGGCATTCTCAGGATGGCAAAGAGAATTCGAGTATAAGACAAAAGTATCAACAGAAAGGGAACCACGACAATCAAAATGGTGCCTGTGAAAGCATAGACTTCGAACACGAAGGTGTCTGCACAGGCAAGCTCCAGCACTGCTGGGGTTTCACATGATATATGGTTAATTTTACTAGGACCACAAAAGGGGAAGCTAAATACCCATGTAGCCTGCAAAGTAGCAACCATGATGCCCAAGACCCATGAGGAAATCACCAATTTGACAAACATCCTTTTGCTCATAATCACTGGGTAGGACAGAGGGTGGCAGATTGCAGCAAATCGATCATAAGCCATTGTGCCCAGGAGAAAACACTCTGTCCCACCAAAGAGAAGAATGAAATACATCTGAACAAAACAGCCCCAAAAGGAAATGGTGGCTTTCTCAGTGGTGAGAACTACCAACATTTCAGGCATGATAGCTGAGCTGAAGCTTGCTTCCACAACAGACAAGTTCTGCAGGAACAGATACATGGGGATGTGCAGACTGTGGTCCAGAAAGATGACGGTGACAATGGTGGCATTTCCTGTCATAGTCACCAGATAAATAACCAAGAAAGCTCCAAACATGTGTACTTGGAACTCAGGGAGGTAAGAAAAGCCCAAGAGGATGAATTCAACCACAGAGCTGTCATTCCATCCCGTCATTGCAGGAGTAGAGTCCTATATTTTCCTATATTTGTGTAGAACAAATGAACTTCCAGTCAAATAGTTCCAGCCTACATTAACCCCAGCGCAGAGCATGAGAGGAGGAGACCAACGTCACAATTAGCAACTTGAAGGGTGTCTAACCACTTGCATTAATGAGCCCTTGATATAGAAATGGAGGAATGGAGACTTATTGCAAAGAAATACCATCCATTTCTATCACAAGTTGTATATTGTGTGATTTAAAGTTTAGTCTCAAATTTAAAGTTAATAAAAATGTTTTCTAAGGGTATTCTAACTCTATACTATTTCTATCACAAGTTGTATATTCTGTATTGAGCTTTTAAGTTAAAAGAAATGTTTTCTATAGGTAGTCTAACTCTATACAATCTTATAGCATCACTTGTGTGGCATAACATTAGATAAATACAAAAGTTATGATCATAAAAAATAAAGTCCATAGGTAAATATTTATGAACCCAACTCAAAATTTTCATAAAAATGTAATAATTCAGTTATGAGTAAAAAAGTGAAATTTTAGATACATTTTACTACTTAATGGCTTCTGTTTTCATTGATATATTGTATATATATGTCTATATGTTTCATAAATGTAAACTTATCGATGCATAATGTTACTTATATTTATGTTAGGTACATTTTTTAGTATTCATTGCACTGGGCTAATGCAATGGGATATAGCTGTTAAAAGTACCAACGTTGTTTACAAACACACAGAGGAGGTTGTATTTTAAATGTGCTTGTGGTGGGTGAAACCACAGTTTGTGTGAGTTGTTGCAATCTTACTAAATTCTTCCCAGACTAGAACTAGCCACTTCTACTAGAGTTTACGCTGATATAATATTTTGAGGGTAACTACCAATGCCCATCCATGTGACCATGATGGCTTAAGAAAGTCCACTTGGGAGGCATCACAGGGCTGTGATTTGAGTTTCCACTTTTCCCTCTCTGTTCTCTCACTTCACTTTCTCCACTCCATTCTTATTCCAAAGGTTTATGAAATCATTAATTACTCAACAAATTATCAGCAACAGCCCACTATTTTCTAGGATCTGTACAGTCTCGAATACATTCGAGACCAAGACCTTTAAAAACTTAGCATGTTACATGAGACAGGCATGACTCCTTAACATGTGCTGCCCCAACATACTTCAGAACTCTAAATATGGCTTTCACCCTTTCTTTTCTTATTACAAAACATATTTCTGTACATAAAAATATAACCCATCATAAAAACATAGCTATGAAAAACAAAGTTTTGTTTGCTTCTTGGAGATATGCACAGTGCATACAATAGTCCTTGGTCCATATGACATATTAACACACTATTCCTAACACAGTAGAACCACTATGGCTCACAACAACCTACCGTTCACTCCAAAACAGGTAATAGAAGTTTGGAATATCCCCAGCACAAAGAACTGAACACCTCAAATAATAGAAGTGCTCATTGTTTTGATCTGATCATTGTACACTGTAAAAATACATTGAAATGAAGTGTACTATGATAGCTCATAAGTATATGCAATTACTGTGCATTAATATACATAGAGAATGAATATAAACAGAGACATATAAATACATATATACATTTAAAACTTGAACAAAAATAAAAAGCATATTACCATAAGTAATTAAGGACAATTGAGCAATTGGTCGCTGAATAATTTTCATATGCTAATGTCTTAGAAAACTCAGATAAACAGTGGTACAGTGTGTACTTTATTCATTAACTTTCAGCCTCCAGCTGAAAACAATAATCACTGACCTCAATGCCCAAATATTCTAGTCAGAAATTCTAGGCTATGATTAGTGCACCAAAGTAATGATCCCTAAAATTATGTTTGTTCTTCCCTCTGAATAAAAAAAATGAAATTGTCGAACACAAACCTAAAGAGCCAGATGATTTGGCTGTGCGTTATGATCCCTGAGCACTGAGGTCTTCTTGCAAAAAGTCTCCAGCAGAAGATTCCTTGCAGAAGGTCAGTGAGGAGAAATTTAAAGAATAACTAAGGACAAGCACATAACTCAAGCAGAGCCTACACTTTCTTACCTAGTCATTCTGTCTCAGTAACGTTCACACACCAAAGCCACCTATTCATAAATATGGCTTAGAGCACTGAATTTGGAAAATTACAGACACTCATGTGTTTCAGTGCTCTCTCTGAACAGAACTTGAAATCACTGTGTGTGAATATTTCTCCATTTTGTGAGAACTAAACAGTCTTGAATTTGGACTCTTAGAGACAGAGCTCAGGGAAAGAAACTAGGAGCATCAGTCCTCCATGCCTCCACTGGGGCTTACCTCTCTTACACAAGAGACTTCCCCATAAGATCTCCCTATAGAAATTAAAACAGCAAGAGTGAACATTGTAAACAGGGAAGCAGAGAGAAATGGTATAAGAATGTAATGTCAAAGATTTTATTAAACAATATACAGTCTGTGCAATGATGGGAAACAAATTTAAAGCAAATAGGTCTGCCAAGCCTGTGCAGTAGAAAGCCTGGATGACCATGACCCAAGAATTTGTACATTTTCCAAGATAAAAAATGAAATGCCATGATTTGGGAAAAAAAATATCCTCATAGATGATCACTTTTACAGTCAGAAGTCTAGACTGGCCGGCTTGACTTTGAGAACCTCATTGAGCAATGTTTTTTTTTTTTAATTTCTCTACAAAAGTAAGCACCATGGAGTATATATCATCTGTATCCAACAGTAATTGGAGCACATAACCTTAAGGAAGAGATTTTCATCTGCAGAAGTCAATCCAAGCACCCCAGAGTTATTAGAATCAGAACCTTGAGAAACCTAACAAACAAGGCTCACCAATACACCCTCAGTAAACCCATTAATTTTAAAAAGCAGAGAAAGGAGATTTATCCAACAGTGCTACGTGGGGAAGAGGAGCAAAGAACACAAATGAATCCTCAAGTTCATCCTTGGGATCTTCACCTAAAGTTTAGCATTAAATAGAGAACAATAGCTATGTATAACTAATCTGTCCTGGCCAAAACATGGCCCTACCTGTTATTATTATCTAGGTTGTAGTCTATCCTATGAGATAAATGGAAAAAATACAAGAACTGGATAGAATTTCTTTTTCTGCAAACAAGCTACACTTTCTGGCTACCACTAGCCTTTCATTCCCCCAGCATGAGAGTTTGGGGAAAATTCCAGATTCTTGGAATTCACTCTTTTTATTAGTCTGAGAACCAGAAAGAGGAGCAATATGTGTCTCTTTAAAATAATCTTAACTCTTGCCAGGACTGTTACAAGTTCACATTAAATAAAATATTGTCTTTCAAGTTGTGCTTCCATGGGCTGACTCTGTTTTACACATGGAATGATCCCATTTTTGAGTGCAATCAAGACCCTCTTAACCTATCCATTTGCAATGATAGGTTCCATGTTGGAAGATGAAGGAAAATAGCTCATAGAGAATAAAGTAGAAAACAAAGAGTTGATATCGCCATGATCTTCAGTCATACCTCTGTGCCCACGTTGTGTTAACTTGTCTTGGTAATGATACATAAACAAATTTCTACTCACCTTAGATAAGCTGACAAGCCAAAGGAACAATTCTTCCAAAGTCCAACTTAATAAATCGATGAGTTTCCTGAGGTTCTGGTGAGGGGTTACATACAAGTGAAATAGAATATGTTACTTTGATGACTCAAAGGCAGATGTAGCAGAATGAGTGGTAACGGTGAAAAATATAATCCAAAGCTTCCTTGAATAATGATTGACAGGCAACCCACAGGTCAGAGAGTCTCTCTATTACATAAAGTGTTTCTGGTTATATAATCTTAAGGAGAGGCCTTGTGAATCTTGTAACTTCCTTGAGTAGTTAACTTTCTAAGCCTTGTATGTTTCCTTTACTGAGGAACCTCTCTCCAAAATGGAATGTTTCAAATCACAAGAAATTGATGAGCAGCCCAACCAATCTCTAGGAGTACGACCATTATTGATACATGTGGTGGCATATCTTCTTGCTGTTTTCAGCATGGCAAATTTTAATTTAATGTCTCCTGGTTACTGGATTGGAGATCAACTGCCATTCCCTTGGAATGAAGGACAAAAGCAAAACATCCCCTTATACAGTGCTGACCTTCGAGTAGTTAATAGATTCATCTTTCCTGGAATGGGAAGCAAGCATAAAGGAACAAAATTTGAAAATGTTTCCACACTACAAATAGGAAAGGAAGATGTCAAAATATCGCTATTTGCAGATGATATGATAGTATATTTAAGTGATCCCAGAACCTCCACCAGAGAACTCCTAAGCCTGATATACAACTTCAGCAAAATGGCTGGTTATAGAATCAACTCAAACAAATCAGTAGCCTTCCTCTACGTGAAAGATAAACAGGTGGAAAAAGAAATTAGGGAAATGACATCATTCACAATAGTCACAAATAATATAAAATACCTTGGTGTGAATCTAACCAAGCAAGTGAAAGATCTGTATGACAAGGACTTCAAGTCTGTGAAGAAAGAGATCATAGAAGACCTCAGAAGATGGAAAGATCTCCCATGTTCATGGATTGACAGGGTTAATACAGTAAAAATGGCCATCTTGCCATAAGCAATCCCCATTAAAATCCCAACTCAATTCTTCACAGAATTAGAAAGAGAAATTCTCAAATTTATTTGGAATAACAAAAATCCCAGGATAGCAAAAACCATTCTCAACAATAAAAGAACTTCTGGAGGAATCACCATCCCTGATCTCAAGCTACAGAGAAATAGTGATAAAAACTGAATGACATTGGTACAGAGACAGGCAGGAAGATCAATGGAATAGAATTGAAGACCCAGAAATGAACCCACACACCTATGATCATTTGATCTTTGACAAAGGCACTAAAACTATCCAGTGGAAAAAGGACAGCATTTTCAACAAATGGAGCTGGTTTAACTCGAGGACAACATGTAGAAAAATGCAAATCAATCCATTCTTATCTCCTTGTACAAA